TGCCTTGCTTCTGTGTCTGATTTGGGTAGGAGAAATTATCTTACGCTCTGCTGGGTGCCTGGACACTCAGGCATGATAGGAAAATGAAGCTGCAGACCGAACGCCTCATTGCTGTACTCTATACACAGTACAGTAGTTCTTTATCATATACTGTATTTTTGTTGATATACGCACCATAATTGTTTCTATTTTAATGTACAGTACTGTTTGTTCACTATGTTTACTACTGTATTAAATAAACACTTGTAAACACTGTATTTTACTTTATATACAGTATAGTTGTTAATTGGATTAGACTGAGATTTACTTGCTCAATTTTTCAGAGTGACAAGCATGAGCTTAACACGTTCGCGGCGGCACTTCAAATGGCGGGCGTATCCCCAGTGCGGCGCAGCCCTCAGCGTCGAACAAACCCGATTGCCGCGTGTGATTGGCTTTCCAATTTCGGTCTGACAAATAGCAAATAACGTGCGAGGATGTCCTGCTTTACAACGAGAGTCAACGTAGTTCGCTAAACACCCACAGATATCAGCACTGCTTGGAACAGAGCCGGTCCCATTGGAATTGTATTGCCAAATGGAGGGACAAAGACAGGACAAAAAGTCGATTTTGAGATTGCCAGACGGGGATTTTACACGGAAATTTACTACCAACCTACACCACAACAAAATACAGTATACTATTGATTGAGCAGTGCTGTGCGAGGTTTCAAGTTTCTAGCTCTAATCCTGGCTTAAAAATAAATCATTTCGTACTGCTATGCAGCTTGGGAGCGATCGCACCCACCAGGATGGCATTAGGGTTCCGTATGGGAGCGATCACTCCCATGCCGCCACGAACGTGTTAAGATAGAGAAAAAAATGGAGATCTGCTCGTGAGTTAGAAGATGGACCAGGTATTCGACAAATATATCAAGCTCTTGATATTTACTGCCATATAAATTACAGCACTAAACCATTGGATACTTAACATCCAAGATTACTTTTTCCGTGATAAGTAAACTAGAATCATGGTAATGAGAACTATCTTACCTTTAGTTAGAGCGCTTGAAAAAAACTACTTAATGGGTGTTGGTAGGCATATTTAGTTGTGTAAAACATTCACAAAATTCTTGGAATAACTATTTCCAATAATATTTTTTAGAGGTTTGAGAGTCACAATATCTAGCATTGTTCGATCACTTTGCAGAAGTTTTCCTGAGATAGTTAAGGGCACACATTTGTAATTGGAGATCCTTGGGCACAAGAATCTGTTGTGAGAGTTTTGTCTATTGTTGTAATGTATATGTATGTATTTCAATCAATCTTAGCAATGAATTTAATTCGGATTAAAATTGCTTAATACTAAACATTTTAGTTGTTTTATTAGAAAAATCTTCAAATTTCCCTCTCTCTTCCTGAGATTAAATAAAAAACACTAAAGTTAGAGGTATTTTTAAAAGTACCGGTTTTAATTCTGAAAATAAAAATTCACCAGACTGTATTAATAAAATAATTTTAATTATCTTGAGACTCTCCACCATGAAAAATAAAATTGTTTAATCCAGGACGCAGCCAAAGGTCAAATCAGTTAAACAAATTATACATTACACCATTATATTAGTGTGGAGTTAATAATATCCATTTCATTCCCATTTCTATATATAAATCTTCAATCTCTCACAAATTAAAGAAAGTCAGCTAATTTTATTTTTATCTTACCAAGATCCATTCAGAAATAGCTATATATAATTTACTTCTTTAGGATTCACCTCACTTACTACAAAAACTTAAAATGCTCCAAGAATTTTTGGTTCTTTGTATACCTGTATTTAAGGTTTTCTGTATGGTTTGAATTAAAGATTGGGTGCTTTTAGCTTGTCAATAGACTATTTATTTTGAAGATTGTGTTTATCAATCAAGATGAAATTCTAAATAATAGAACACAATTCTTAAAAATTGTAATCTTTATTCAGCATTGAAGGTTCTTTGAGAAAAAGAAACCATCTCAGCTTTTAAAAATTTGATTTATTTAGACACCAATCAACACAATCCAATATGCTGAAATTGTTGGAGCAAAAACTTAAGTTTGGAGTCATGATTTTAATATTTTCCTTCAAGAGTAAATGAATTAAATATACTTTGTACTGACAAATCTAACCTATAGACCTACAACTAAAAATGGCCCTTTTGTCAAAATATTGTGACAAATTTGATCCAATGAGATGGGGTTATTTTTTACAAGTCCAACCAACCGAGACAGTGTGATCAACAAAACACGGGAATAAGCTCAAATGTTCAACCAGAGAGTAGTGACTCCAGTTATAATCTATTCATCTCAATGCATTTAACCTACCGTCAATTAAGATTTCCATCACTTATCCTTTCTTTTGGCAAGTCAATAAATACACCAATAAATTTTGGAATGATAACCAACTCTAACTGAATTTTAAATCCTTTACCTACGACCATTGTTCAAACTAGCTGTTTAAGTTCAGTTCTTGGAATTAAAAATATTCACTTAACAGCATTGTTTTACCTAACAACACGAGTAACGGACCAATGAGATTCATGGACAGAGAAAAAATAAGTAAACTTGTAATGCTTCGATCTTCAACGGCTGTTGAGACCAATTGAATTGTTAATGAGAGGTGCAGTGGCAATAAGAGGTTACAAAAGAAAACATAACTCCTCTCAGAAGTTATGAGTAGTGATTGTTAGTAATAAAAATAAAAAAACGGTCGTAGGTAAAGTAGTGTATGCAACTCGCTTTCACAGAAGTTTTTAAGGCACTCGCCGACTCACCAAGTCTCGTACCTTAAAATTTCCACTTGTTTTGTTAACAACTATCTTTACGTGATCTTGCATAAACTATTATAATCAAAACTCTCTTCCCTTCCTGTAATGTCTCATCCATTGCCTTACTGGTAAAGTTCTGGACACAAACGTAAAGATGACTGTTGTCCCTCAATAGTCAATACATAACCAGGAATCAATACTTCTTAAGTTTGTGATGTTCCCTTGTTTTGGCAAGGAAAATTTAAAGGTTGTTATAAAAAATAGTAGGCCCTAGACCCTGTTATGGTTGCTGTTATCAACTAGTACAAAGTTGATCTGGAGAATAGTTTTGTTACAGTACCAGACCATTTTATCAGTATATGCAAGTGTCGTTCTAAAGCAGCAATTTACCAAATATTCATCACTAAGCATTTTTATAAATGTGCTTAATACTTCATGCTCATTTTAAAACTAACCCTTGAAAATCAATTAAAATCTTATACTGACAATTTTCTAAAAGCTAATCCATAACTGGTTAAGAATCAAATATTTTAAAAGTGTATCACACTGTCTTTAAATGCAATTCACATATCTCTATGTCTTGTATGGACATCCCTGCTGTCGTGGAAATGCTAGGTTATACTATCAATTACCTCATTGATCTCCTTTTAATCCATCAAAAAAGTTATAATTTTAAGCTGTTGGTATTAGTGAAGGAGCATTGAATTGTTCAGAACACAGTGCCATTCAAAGTGTGACTCATAAACAATAATTAAAAAAAGGTATAAAATAAATTAATAAACCCAAGCAAACAAAAATATATATCATGCTCACAGCAGAAATACTCATTTCATTGGTCATGTAACAAATACCAATAATCAATTATTTAAAAAGTTTAAACTTACTCAAGTTTTTGGGAATGCATTTTTTGTGTGTGAAGTGGAAAACGTTGGCCATTAGCAAGAAGTTACTTCATAAAAAAAGTTTTTTATGTAATGTCCTGATTCAGTGAAATTAACACTTAAAATTAAGATTTCACTAAATTAGCAATAATAGCGCTTTGTGTCAAATAACTGTAAAAAGATAATTAATTTAGCCCCTAAGCACACTTTTTGGGTACAGTCACATTCCTTTACATGGAACCTAAATGAATTGTCATTTACTTTCACAGCTTGCAATTCTTTAATAAAAAGACATCTTGTAGAAACATTTACAAAAACTACTTGTGCAATTGAAAATTAATATTTTTACATTTGAACTGTTTCAATTAAAAACTTGTAACGTGAGTTTTCTTAAGGTTAAACAGTTTTCCTGTTTAATTGATTGTTTGTGTTTTGCTATTGAGCCTTTCAAAGTATATATCACCATGACAATTTTATGAATAAGTGTATCATGAATAAGTACTTTTACGCAATCAATGAATTAGTTTGTTTAGAAGTGGGTAACTACAGTAGAACCTCTTTAATCCGAACCCCTGTAATCCGAACGTCCACTAATCCGAACGCCTCATTGCTGTACTCTATACACAGAACAGTAGTTTTTTATTGAATACTGTATTTATTGATATACGCACCGTAATTATTTCAATTGTAATCTACAGTACTCTTTATTCCCTATGTTTACTACTGTATTAAATAAACACTGTATTTTACTTTATAAAGCATTTTTCCCTAGCTATTGTTATGTAAAAACAACAATATGTTCTATAATCCGAACTATTCAATAGTCCGAACTACCCCCGGTCCCAATTAGTTCGGATTAAAGAGGTTCTACTGTAGCTGCAATAATTCAATCGTTATATTTTTCAGTGTTGGTATTCATAAATTATTCTCCCTTTCAAAACTTTTAAGTACAGTGATTTAAAAAAACCAATCAGCTATTAATTGAAGACTGTTGTTGACCTTAAGATTACCTTACCCAGATCTTAAATGTAAATTCGACCTTAGGCTTTGCCTGAGCAATAATCTTGATTTTATTTATCTTTGGCTTTGGAAACTACTACTGTCAACATGGCAAAGCAAGTGTGGCGTGTCTTATATTGGTCATAAGATGAGAATAGGGAAAATAATAGTTATCAGATTGTAAAAGAAACTGCTAAGGGTTTGATTTTGACTTTACAGAATCAGAGAGAGCGAGTTCCATTCAAACTTGACTAGCCTTAAGATGTATTTTTATAGTTATGAAAGTACAGTTCCAATATAATTAGAAAAAAATGGTTTTATCAGGCAAAAAAGCAACTTGAACTTCCATTCAGTACATCGAGACATTTTCATCGTTTAATATCTTTAGATCTTAAAAAAAGAAACAGGAAATTTAAATAACATCACTCTTTATGATTATATCACACCATACAATGTTAATCTGTACAATCGATTTGACATACAATAGACCTGGGTGTTAACATACAAGCTAATACAACGCAAACAGATCAATGGACTATTGCTTAAACGTGAAGATGAGGTAGAATAGTCGGGCACCTAAACCGGAACAGAGATTCTAACTCGGGAACAACATGTATAACAATTACAGGAAACATTCAGATGCCCCATACAAAAGATAGTCCATTTATACAGATCAACTAAACTCACATATAAAATATTTTATACGGTTCGCTTCATAAAAAGTCATCGATAGTACACTCACACTCACACATATCACTCATACCCTTAAATGCTTGTGGAACATTACAAACAAATTATCAGGCTTGGGATTGAAGAATTATAAGATGTATGTGACAGACACAGCTTTATCTTTGGTAAGGGAGTAAGTGTAAACAAACAAACAAACATTGCACATTTACTGTCCTCAGCCTGATTAGCTCCACTCGGATGTCTGTGTTTCCCAGAGTTAAAATGTTTCCCTTTGGCATTTAAAAGTGTCTATCGATAGGAAATTATGTATGGTGTAACTTAGACCGGTATAGAAAATGATATCGTGTCTTACACGAAAAAATTTGTACATAAAAGTTGTACGGTGAGAGTAGCGATCACATCGTCATCAGATAAACTAAATAAATGATAACAAGATCAAATATAATAACAAAATCACATATGAGAATCATTAATCTCCTACTTTAATGTGATGGTAACAACTCAAGGGGAATTGATAACAAAGAATATGATAAAATTTAAACAAAATATGCATAACTAAAACTAGGCGATATTCTAAATAAATATTGTCACACCTAAAACAGAACTTTAAATATAACACTAAATAAAATTATCTCGCACATATTCCTGTAAACAATTACTATTACATAATTGTGAGTGTAACATGAATTCCTTTACAGATTCTGAAGAAGACCGACTGCTTTGAATCCAACAGCCAATTCGTCATGATCTTTTAAAAAAATGTTTATTCGGTTTAGTTTTTAATCAAGTCAGATATAAAATCGAAACACTTTACTTCAATTCAAATCATTAACTCCCCAAATAACAATGTGAAGTAGAACTGACTTTTAGAAACTGATAACAAAATGTGTGTTGAAAGCTATCCAAAGCAGCCAGTCCGACAAGCTAACATCAAGATAGAAATATTGCACTCTTACCACTTTCTAACTCAGCAGAAACTGCACTACACAAATATGTAATCAACAAGTGTTATGTTATGACTAGATGAGGCCTATCTGCAGAAGTAACTTCTCCATACATACAAACTCTACTGTTTCAAACAATATTACTATGTTCTTCAACAACTGGTTGTACTATGTCACCATCGTTAAAAAGTTTTATGCGAAGGGAAATTATCAAGTGCATGAAACTGCGACAACTTTGTACTCAGAAAAGAATATACAAAGTCTGTCACATGACTCGTATGTCAGAGATGATACGGGTTTTATCAGGAACTTAGGGTTATTCAACTTAAAGGCTATGAACACGTAAGGTATTAACTATCGTACGACTAAAGAATGTTATTGCCCTCACTGAGCTAACGACTGTCGACTGTCCCTACAGCGTACAGCCTCCTAACAATAATTAACTGCAACCAACAACCAGTCACTGCTTTATATGAGCAATCTACAAATGGGACGAGACAATCTATAATCCTACAAATGAACAGAAAGTATGTATGCAAACTATACAGGTCTAACAACACCTTCACAAACAACTATACATAATCCAACATATATCTACAAATAATTTCAACTTAAAAACCATACACTTCGGCTTATAAAGCTCTTTTATATATAAATATATATATTTAAAAATTGGAATATAACTAAATCAATTACCATAAAAACCATAAACGCTACAAATTAAAACAAATTACATTCCCAGTAACTGGAAAACACTGACATAATCTAGTTTTAAAATATCAGACATGCAGGGACACATGGTTAATTTTATTATGAATAGTAGGGTTTAAAAATGTGAAAAATCAATAAAGCAATGGAAGACAAGTTGTACAATGTAAGGTATTTACAAGTATAACCAGAAAAACAGACTCTTCAAAATACACAGTTGATTTACGAGTCATGTGAGATGGTTTGAACCTCAAATACTTCGGACCGGCCCCCGAGTCTAATGAAAACCAACAAGTTCACACTTTGAACATGAATTTCCTTCTGAAGGAAAGGAAATTCAAACAATCATTCAGTCATTAAATGATTGTTAAAGTGGTAAAAATTCAAAGCTTGTACAACCAGCTTTGAGAATGAATTATGTTGGCCTATTATTTGTAGGAAAATATATAACAAAACGTTATTAAATAATTCAGTATTCACTACTTTATACAATGGATGAAAAACTCTTTCAAAAGTTATTCTCTTCATAATACTATTATACATTTAATTTATATATAATTGGGCTACGATTCGATAATTCGAAAAACTTTTGTACTCTGTGATGATGTGGCAATGGCTATGTAGATGTGCAAAGTCAACACATTTGAGTAAAAATAACAAATATAAATGGTACAATAATATAACTTAAGACCGAGAGCAGAAAAATTATCGATCATAGGTATAAGGCTAGATGTTAACAATAAATTTAAAATTGTTAAACAATCGTAACATAAACATTTCTGATGCATATATTTGCCTAAGAGCAACTTAGTGAAGCCAAAGTCCCATATTACTCAGACCTTTCTCCATTAACACTCTATTATTTATCTTTTTGTAGTAATGAGTTTTTTTATAAAGATTGATATTATTATAAGTTCTACCCTACCTATGTTTAGAACATGGAAACACATTTTTCATACGTGTAATGATGACTAAACAAGAGAATGATTACTACTCAAATAGAGATTTAGCAGGTGGCATATAAAATAACCTATATTTGACATACTTTTCATAAGTTTCTTTTAACGACATGAATAGTATATATTTTGGAATTTATAGCTAAATTAATTTTATAGAATATGAAAAGAAGGATAGTTAAATTACAGAAACAAAGTGTTTGATATAAAGGGATTAAATATTACTGTGCTAATATTTTTATTTAAAGAGGCACACATTACTTTGAACTTTAATTTCCTGAATTAATGTGAAGTCATCGATAGAGAAATAAGTTTAATAATGCATAGGACTTTAGCTTCACTATATGCCTGATGTAAACTTGTTTAAAGAAATCCACTCACATCACATAACAAGAAAATCAATTACTAAACAATTAAACAAGATATAACAAAATATTAAGCAGTCTTAGTAATGACAGGGTCTTGTTGAAACTACAGGCAGGCGAATCAGAAACCTCCGAATCCAATATCCATTCTTTCATTTTTTATTCTATCAAAAACGTGACTTTGCAAGTAACTGGATTGTGGATAACCGGAATTGGAATAGGGGGAGGGATATGGGAAATTGGGACTAGGTACATGGATGTTGTGTGAAGGGGAGTAAGGGAAACCCGCAGGGGGGCCTCCTGGATATGGGCTGGAATACTGATTATAGGGGTAGGGCAGCCCAGAACCCGACATGTTGACTCCACTCATGTTAGGCAGAGGTTCCATGGGTGAACCTATCCTGCAAGTGCGGTCGACCAACCCACTGCCAAACGAGTCTATCACATGATGGGACCCCATCGGATGGGGTGGACCCATCAGGTTAGGGTAGGAGGAAGTGACAGTGTGGCTAGAGTTGTAGTTTGAGGCCAAGCTTGTGACAGAGAAGGAGCCAGGAGTCTCATTGCTACTCGTCGCGCTGCTGTTGGCTAGTGACGTCACTGAGAAGTTCATACTGGGAGAGGGAGAAGTGTACGTGTTAGAGGTTGTAGGAACTGCAGACGGGTATTGTGGACTGTAATGAGATACTCTGGGATAGTCTGATAGGTAGGCAGAATCGTCACTGTATTGCCCAGTGCCCGATGAGGAGGCACTCTCCATGGGTTCCCCACTCACGACTGTGTGAGGGGCATCTCCATCACCTATGTTCGGAATCTGGTCCACTAGTGACTCCAGCCCTGATAAGCTCTTTGATGCTACATCCTGGTTTAACGTGGGTTTCGGGGCGAATCCAGAGGATGGCCTCTGAGGGTATCTTACGGCGCCGCTAGTTTCTGAATCTCCAGAATACTCGTCATAGTTCTGGTAGTTCATTTCTGGGGATTTCTTTTTAGATGGTGCAGGACTCGGAAAGTGACAATCCATGTGGTTATCCGGATTGTCATCTTTGACGTCCAAGGAACTTTTACTGTTATCTTCTTGCATAGCGGTGGAGGGTTCAAATTCTGGTGGACCTCCTAAACTGGATGAATTCGGTGACCTCGATGCGATGTTCTGCTCAGAAGATATTGCAGCACTGATTTCAGAGGACAGATCGGAGTGAGAGTATGACGGAGGCTGAGGAGACTGGTTGTACCCGTGACTTTGCATGGGAGATTGATGGAAGTTGTGATTTGACAATGGCGACTGTGAAGCATTCTGGTTGTACGTATGTGACTGATTATTGTACATTTGTGAAAACCCCTGCTGACACAAGTTAATAGGAGACTGAATTGGGGGAGAAAAACAATTTGGAGTGGGGGTAACTGCCTGGGAGGTCGTCACTGCTGGAGTTGTGGTGTTGCTTTGCGTCTGTTGCTGCTGCGGCTGTTGTGGTTGTTGCTGCTGTTGTTGAGAAGCTGTAGGAGTCGATGGTTGTGTTTGTTGTTGTGGCTGCTGCTGCTGTTGTTGTTGTTGCTGCTGCTGCTGCTGCTGCTGTTGCTGTTGTTGTTGCTGCTGCTGCTGCTGCTCTGTATTTGTATTAGCAACCATTTCAGGTTTAATTTTCTTAGGGCGACCTCTTTTCTTCTTGGGAATAACATTTCCATCTTTATCGAGAACCTCCTTGGGAGGTTTTTCTTTTTTCTCTGGTGGCGCTTCTCCCTCTACCTTTATCTTCTTTGGTCGACCTCGTTTCTTCTTTGGTGGTCCAGCCGGCTGATCTTCACTGTTCTCTTTCTTGATCACAGTGTCGGTCAAATCCGTTAACCCATCACCCATGTGTCCGTTATACCCTCTATACTTACACAGCTGTCCATCTTTTCCTTCTTCCTTCACTTCAGGCTCAAAAAAGTTTTTGAGTTTGGAATAAGTAAACACAATTTCTTTCTCATCCAACTCTGGCACTAGTCCATTCAAATAATCACGAAACTTTTTCAATGCAGCGTAGAAAGGTACTTTGTCAGCTGCTCGAGGAAGTTGGGCGCAGCGAGCACTTGATGACGGCATCACCCACATGTACTGCAGCAAAGAATGTCAAATTAAACTGATGAATTGTGTGCATAAACCTTACAGCCTACAACCCCATGGACACAGTTTGGACAATGATCCTTCATGGAGCTACTGTAATACCTAGTTCTAAGGTTCGGTCACAAGGTATTTTGTTATTTACTTCTAAGAAAAGTTACCCTTTTACACTCACCCCTTAGCCAAGAAATTCACGGTAAAGATTTATTAAGAAACTACCGGTAAAATTTTGACTTCTTTATATAGGCCTAGTAGACTTCCTAATAGCCACAAGTGGATTAACTATGTTGTGGATTAACCTAAACTGCAAAAAATAAAACTAAACATATATTAAGCAAGTTAAATGACCAACATGTTTAGCGTGAGGAGGCCTATAATCTCGCGGGCAGACTATAGAGTGGCCGTTGTTTACTTCACGGACCAAGGCTGAGTCACCGATTACAACCAATGTGTAGAAAAGTTACATTTTGACATTACTAGGCCTATACATCGGCCCTACAATATTTTTTGTTTTATAAATAGACTTGTGTGAAACAAAATTAAAAGTTATTTACACTGCATTAAAACTGTATTAAAGCTTGACTATGCATTTAAAGTCAATGTTAGTAATATCCTGGGAATTTTAGGTTAGGTTTACATTATCCAAGATTTCAATTAATCACTCAGCCACTGATTATAGTGGATGATCGGGAGTCTACTGTAATTATTTTAATCATCAAAGTTCAACAAGATTATTATTTTAATCATCAAAGTTCAACAAGATTGGTGGTTTCACTTAGAGCACATTGCACTAATGAGTAACAAAATGGTAACATTTTTCCATCATTCTGTACAGAATGTGTTAATTCTGCATGGGTTAATTTTTACCTCATATTGAAAAGTATTGTCAATTAATCTAATCATTCTCGTAATTGGCTTCCTATCGTACGTGAAACTCACTGTAAAAATGCTCGGCCTAACACATGAAATTTGAGAATGTACTGGAAAATGTGAGTTTCATTACTTATAATGAAATATACTAGCTATTACAAAGTAATACAAATCTAGAGAAAATTTTCTTGTGTCAAAAATGATCATGATTCCTGATTGTCATAATAAAATATGAATCAATAGCATAAAAACTTGAATTTTTTACGTAAAAATATAATTTAACATCGTCTGTTACCAAAATATGCTTTATCTAGTTCTTGATGTATAGTTCTAAATAAGAGATAGGCCCCTAACTAGGATGGATATTGTAATATAACTTTAATGTTGCTTTGATATTCATTTAGGTAACTTATTAAGCATTGAATTTGAGACGTTTTTATACATTTGTAACTATATATTTTTTTGTTTTGTAGATAGGTGAACCTACTGCTCAGGATGGGCTACAAAACCACCAGGTCAGTGTTATGATTATCTCATTGTATGTACATAATAACTAGGGGTCTGCGGTACAGAAAATTTAAGGCCGGTTTGTTTCGGTACGGTACAATATTCTGTACCTCGGTTCTCGGTACAAAATCGGTACGGTATGCGGCTACCAGTAATTTTGCGGTTTTTTCCTATGAATCATATTAAAACCATTATTTTAAATTTTAATACATTGACATTATTATGAAAATGGATAGTAACCTACATTTATGGTATTCTAACAACAATTGCTGTCCTACACATTATTAAAACCTTTTACTTCTAACAGGAGTGTGTCAAGAAATCAACTAAGTTAAGATGAACCTTCACCTATTTTACACCCAAGTTAAGTCCTTGCCTTGATAATAGGGGTCTGCGGGTGAAACTTTTTTATGTTCGTGTCGGGCCAAAAATCGTTAGGTAATTAACGGATTTATTTTGTTTGAACTTCTATCTGTGTTTATAAGGTTACTTGATAATAAAATATGAAAAGAAACTGAATTTTTGTATATTATTTCATTATCATATCTTATTTACAGCTTGGGAATTGCCTCAACTGCAAGTAAGAAGTAAGTAATTTTTTTTATCAAGACATTCTTTCCCATGTTTCTAACTGTTGAAATAACTAAAAAGTAGGGGTGTGCGAGTACTCGAATCTTCGAGCTTTTTGGTCGAGCTTTTCATTATTCGGCTCTGCTCGAGGCATTTTGAAAAAGCTCGAAGTTCGAGCCGAGCTTTTAATACTAAGTCAAAACTAAAAAAACACTTAATTTGGATCGTAATTGAAAACAATGTTATCACAATTCTACGTTGTTCATGCATTCGAGGTTTGATAAGCACGAACACGAACCTCAGCTCAGTCAAGACGCAATGATTATCGATCGTAATTTTGAGGAGATACAGTAGTAAAGAGACAATCTACCACCTATCCTATCGCGTTGTCTTTCTAACACAGCTATTCGTATCGTAATACACAACGCAGTGCGAGTGCGTGATTGGCTCGTCGCTATGACGACACATGGTTGCCGTGGCAACCTACAGTGCGCACTGAGCACTGCGCCTTGTGTGGGAGGGGAGATTATACCAACAAACTATTTCAGGAATTCTATTTTGGGACCGATGGAAGATAAGGAAGAAACTAAAAGTGGTCACGTGTGCAAATGTAGTGGGCGACACAATAAGGCTGTAAACGAGTATCGTCATGCCGTTGTTCCTTGTTTGTTTACTTTTTCAGATTCCTTATCAAACGCCCCTATCTGCTATCTCTCTTTCTCTCTCTCTCTCTCTCTCTCTCTCTAACAGTGTACTGATTAAACAGATTGTGGTTGACGACTTTTCTACTTATAAGATTCCCTGCGGTTATTTTAGTTCAATCAAACCCATAACCTTTCTAATGTTTATCAAAATAATTAATTAATCTGTTTTGTATTTTATTCCCTTTAAACCAACCCCTATTTACCATCTATATTTTATAGAATAAAATGTTTGTTTATAAAGTTTGACTGGTCACACAATTTTGTACCTATTTTATTTTGTTTAAAAGTAGGGGTGTGCGGATATCTGAAAAATCGGGTAACCGGGCCCAAATTCGATATCCGACACTATCCGTTATATATCCGGCTTTTCGGATAGACAATATATTTTGACGTTTTGGACAAAAAACTAAATCTCCATAGCCACCATTAGTTTCCCAGGACAAAATTACAGCAATACGTTTCCAACGACCTAACAGCAAACGGCAAAGAAGCCTTGTATGATGCAATACTGATAACTAGTTTAGTCGTTATCGGCTGTTTTGCTTTACGATTAGATTCGTCTGGAACGAACAGACATAAAGCAGAAAAGAACTACCATGGTCAAATGAAAGTCAACTCGTGCTTGTCTCCCTCCTGATACTAGGGGCGCTGCGTAATAGTTTTTTTACAGTACTGTTTCAAATTCAAAGTAGAAAAATCTAGCCTACTACTGTGAAGTTACGTAAACAATAGATTTAATGTTTCCCAAAAAAAAGTCAGAATAGAAACAATAGAAAGGCAACACAATAGAAGGGTGGGAGGGGTTGGGCAATGACCTTGAAAGGAGCGCGGGTATAGTGAGTCAAGTATGACCGGAGGGGGAAGGGGTGGGTAAGACCTTGAAGCTATATATAGACTTGCACTACTTCCCTAAACCTAAAGGACTGGCCGGCAAGTGGTATTCCAATCACAGGACAAGATACGTTGTGTTTTAGGTATTCATTGCCCGGGTTGACTTTGGATTGTCTTACTGTGTAGAAACTTTGAATAATAAAAAATAAAGTTAGAACTAACCACGATTATTTAGCATTGATTGTGTACATATTAAATGATTAAACTATAGGGACCATGGATATATACAAACTTTTGTCGTGATTTTAATTTCAACATCAAAATACAATATTGCACAATCGTGATATTTTAGGTCATCGACCTTTATTATGCATCCGGTATTGCTGTTTCGGAAGAGAAGCACGTTGATAAATTATAAATTGATATTCCCGTAGTTAAAAAGAATTATTTTATAAATCTATAAAACAAAATCATAAAATCTTACATAAAGATAACAATAACGGAAATTGTAAAAAAGGTATAAAGATAACACGTTATTCTTTCTCTTTGTTCTTCTATTTCTTGGGTTTCCCTTCATCACGCATTCAACAAGTTGCCATGGTTACTAATCACCCATGTCGTTATCAGCTTTTGTGACATAACGCACAGCAGGGGGGTAAAACTTGACGAAAATCGGTTAATTTTTACCTATTATTTAATTACCAATGAATGTACTACTTTATTGGTATTTGGTACTGTATTAATAATCGGTCAAAATGGGCGATTTTTGTCAAATTTTACACCAAATTTATTGAAATTTCAAGGTGAATATTAATAAAACAATTATTACCAAATATTTGTATTAATTTAAAAGATTGATTTGTGGTATTGGGTTCCCCACTGAGTGCAGCCGAGCGGCACTAATGAGGGTCGGACCTTCTTGGGGGTGAACAATAGACGGCTTATCAGACCCTCCCCTCCCCCGTGGTCTGGAGAAAGCTTGTAAACAAACTATTGCACAAGCGACTTGACATTTGGCTGCTCCAACTATAATTTTGTCAAATGAACTGTGATGTTTCAAAATCAAAAACAATAATTTGGGACCATACTGCTTAACAATAATGGACTGCAATTATTGTTAAACATACAATCCATTTTTAACAAACTAAGATTATACGATTCAAATAGAATTGTAAAAATTATCTTGGTATTATACTTGGGGTAATGAAGTTATGTAGGCTAGTGTAATTCTCAGTTCATCAAGGTTCTACTGAATAATGTTTGGCAGTGAATAAGTGTAGAATGCAATTTATAAATTCAGGGATACACACCTTTTACACAGTTATAAAGTCGTTAATTAATAGAAATAGTTAATTCTGGAAAATTAAAAATAGTGATCGCATTCATAAACCTGTTGTCAAAACAGCAACACGGGTGTAAGGGTTTATTGTTTTAGATGCAAGGGTGTTTCAAGGACAAAGTACAGTGTTGGGCCTCCCGGCTTAGGGGGGGAGGGGGGCGGTGAGACTGTGTGAAGGGGAGGAAACTGGTTTTGGCTATTTATTGATTAGTTCCCTGACCCTTCTAGATAACAAAATTGAGTGACAGTATTAAATCATCGTGTACTTTATTTCATTTCTTGTTTACTTTGTGTGTTATTCTATTAATTTTAGTGTTTTGGTCTATTTCCTCTATGTCAATTATATCTTTTTTAATATATAAGTTTACTTTTTACTTGTCTCTCCACCTTTTTGGATCCAAACCAACCATGTTCTTTTTTTGATTAATACGATTCATAAAACAAAAATATTTTGTGCATGGAAAACAAAAAGAATAATCACGTGTTTTAAAATTTATTTTGTATTTATTTATACAAAATAGAATTAAATATTCATAGTAGTTACAATATACATTATGTAATCGAGTTGCTAGTTGTTTTGTCGTCATTCAATGTCGCGATGCTGTTCTGTTCAAGAATCAAGAATATTTATTTGCCATTAAATAACAGAACGTTACTGTTATGAAAGACAATCTGATTGTCTCAGTCTGCACTGCATATCTCGTCAGGCCTTCAATCAATATCCTTTTATTTCTTGCATCTTAATTTAGTTCAGTTCAGTTCTTATCGTGATTATCTACTATTTGATGTCTTGACAATTCTCAACGTTTTTAAACATATTAAAATAACATTGTGTTTATTTAAAAATTGACAGAACATTATTATTATTATGCACTTTTTTAAGAAAAAAAAAGTTTAATAACTTAGATAAGGTGACGCTAGGAAAAGCTCGGCTCGAAAAAGCTCGAGCTCGAAAATTTTTTAAAAAGCTCGGCTCGGCTCGGCTCGAGGTTGAAAATCACTATTCGCACACCCCTACTAAAAAGCTAAATTGCAATAAATGTATTGTGAATAAATGTTTTAAAATGTGTTGGTACACCTGCGAGTGTACAGCTTTTGATCTTCTTCACATTATCCGCTCTCTGTAGAAACTTGGCTCTCCTTGTATGTAACTTCTAATGTACGTTCTTAAAATACAATAAATCTTAAAATGAGTGAAGTCAAGTATTTTATTTATTAAAGACCTCTTCCACAAATTAGAACAGGCTGTACCGAACCGAATTTGTACCACGTAAAATGTTGTACCGAAACGATGACAGTAATTAAGCTAGAACCGTATTTAACCGACTTATTTGATGCACCACAGACCCCTGATAATAACTAAAATTACTCCAGTTACCGTACATAACTAACAAACATAAACTTACAGTGTTGGTTCCATCCACTAGCTCAGGCTGCCTTCCAAAGCTGAAGTCTTTCTTTCCCGAAAATACCTCAAAAATCAGCTTGCCATTAAACACAGCTATTTTTGGTTTGAACTTTCTCAGCTTTTCAAGTAGAATCTGGCTACCTGGAATTTTACAATCTTGATTTATAAAACTATCCAGCTTAATTGACTTAACTGTAATGATTAAACTTAGTCATATTGTGGTTTTATCACAGGAGAAAGCCATATATTACTCATCCTTGGACACAAGTTTAGTTAGCCTAAATAATGATTTAGGCTAAATATAACAAAATTTCTATATACAGTAGAACCTCACTAACTCGGCAGTCTGTGTAATTCGACACTAACTGGAAGATGGTAAATATGCTATGATGGTTTCAATTCAATTATAAGTAATTTGACTTCAATGGATGGCCAAAATGCATTTAAGGCGGGAAGAGGGTCAGTGTCTCAGCCGGGAATTTAAAAGACTTGGAAATTCCAAGTCAGGGAATTTATCCAAAATGTTCAACTTTAACTTATAACAAATTAATCTATTTTAAGAATATCCTGTACTACATTGTCAACTTATATAAATAATAAATTTAAACATGTTATATACTAGTCCTGGTGTCTTATTTTCTGATATCCATTTAATTTGTATTGTTCTGAGTGGCTCGACAACCCTCAAACTCTAGAACTATGGGTCTACAAAATGTCAAGTGTACATAAAATGTTTTATGTGCTAACCAAAACTATAGTTGGTACATACAGGGAGCGGCAAAATGATCTGACGGTTTTCTTTGCCGCCCTGTTGAGCGAGTGAGTGGCGGAGGGTGGTGGGAATAGGGGCGTTACAAAGCCTACGTGCGAACATTTTTAGTAGCCATGGACCTAGGGACAGCTGAGCACCACGCATTTGTAGTGGAAGTGTTTTTTAAAGTGACAATTCCTGTGTGGCTGTTCAGCTGCAGTTCCGTAGACGTTTCAATGTGGGCCCAAGGGGAAAAGTCCCAACTCGAAACACCATTTTGCTGTGGGTGGGTAACTTCAGAGCTACTAGTTCAAAATTGAAAAAAGTCCAACAGGTCCAAGGTTAGCCTGGACGCCAGAGAACATCGAGAGAGTGAGAGAAGCTGTGGAAGCAAGCCCTCAGCGGCCTGCACGTAAATGAGCTGCAGCTCTGCACATGTCTGGTCGCTCGGTATGAGTATTACGGCACGACCCGCACTTTCATTCGTACAAAATGGCAATAGTGCAGCAGTTGAAGCACAGTGGTTACATAAAGCGCATCTCATTTTCAGAACAAGTGATTTAATTTCTTACACGTGACAAAATAATCATTATGAGCGACGAATCGCACTTTCAACCACACCACACAGTCTTCCTCACTCTCTTGACGTTCTCTGGCGTCTGGACTGACCTTGGATGGCCTGTTGTTTTAGTTTCAATGCTGAACTAGTAGCTCTAAAGCTACCCACCCACAGCAAAATGGTGTTTCGAGTTGGGACTTTTCTTCTTTGACCCACATTGAAATGCCTACTGAACAACTACACAAGAATTGTCACTTTTAAAAAACACTTCCACTACAAATCCATGACGCTCAGCTGTCCCTAGGTTCATGGCTACTAAAAATGTTCGCTTGTAGGCTTTGTAACGCCCCTATTCCCACCACCCTCCACCACTCACTCGCTCAACAGGACGGCAAAGAAAACCATCAGATCATTTTGCCCCTCCCTGTATAATTAGTTGTTCGAGTCATTGTTGATTCTGTAATAATTTTAACAGTTTGTTCCTGAAGGCACTGGTCCTGGCGTTACTTATCACCCAATCATAGCCTACTAAAGTTGCCATGGTTACAGATCACTCAATCACGTGCAGCTAAGTGTTATGTTGTCATCAGTTTTTGTGACACAGCAGACAGATATGTAAGGAGCAGACGGTTTTCAGCGCAAGCGTGACGTCACCTGGGAGCTTGCAATCAATATTTCTTTGTTCTGCTTCTTGTTTATTTAATTTTTGTCAAATGAAATGTAATATTTCAAAAACAATAATGTGGGAGCTACTGTATACCAATAATAGACCAAAATAGTTTAATATACAATGCATTTATTTTAATACACTAGAATTATGAAATGCATTTTTTTTATGCATAATTTTTAATATTTTCAACACAAAGCTTTCTCCAGACTGACTACATATTTTTTACTTGCCTTCTTTGATTTCCTTTCTGGTGAGATCTGCGCTACCTTTGGTGGCTCTCTCAACCATGTTAGTGAATCCAATGCCGACCTTCAGTAACTTGTAGTCGTCATCTGCTGTCATCGGCTCTGGGGTCAGCCCTGAGAGGTACAGACACTTCCCTGGAATCAGCATTTGTTGTCAAAAAGCAGCAAAACAGCTATTACCAATCGATGCATTCAATGCTAAAGTAGTTATTATTTACACAATCAATAACGTCAATAATAATAATAATTTGTCGGATGGAAGTCCTAAAACCAAAGAAGAGGTCCAAAGTCATTAGCTGTTAGAGCTGCAACACTGTGTATGCAAACTGTAAAAACCTTGTTTGTACCTTCACTGAGTAGGAAAAGTTCATTTGACAAGACAGGAGGGAGAAGATACACAATCAGTCTTTTTTTTACAAACAAGAGGTCTTTGAAGACTTTGTTGGGAGATCCCTTTCCTCAGACAGCATAATGGGGAAGATATCACAAAATCGTGGCATCTAGAGCTGGAATGCCATGGCTAATTTTTTCTTTTCATACTGCTTTTAAAAAATTAGCGACAGTTTTCTGGATTAACCCAAAAGAATTAATGAACAGTGCCAGTGAAAACTAAATAGCTTTATCCCTTGTGATAGCTTCTTATGACTTCATGCTATGTTGCAATGAGCATAAATTTTAACCTGACCACTTTGGATTATATTACATTTTTTATGTTCCATTGTTTTCGTATAAATATTTTAACATTGTCAAAATCGGGCATTTTTCTTACTGGGGAAACTTTGAGTAATTAAAAGATTTGGTTCTAGCTAAAAGAGAAGAGAGTAGGCTCATTTTTCCTTAAGAGCAAGAATATAACTACAGCATATTCTACATAACTACAACGCAACCCAATTAGTAGACAACCCAAAGTTTCCTCACAAGATAAAAACTGTTTTTTTTTTTTTATTATTTACAAATGTACAACTAAACAGTATACCTTATCACATAACAATTTGTTGTGATAGTATTTGTTAGCACAAAAAATTCTTATGATGATTCTTATGATGTGGTGTTTATCAATTAACAAATAATTGAGGAGTAATTATTCAATATTTCTAGAACAGCTGTTTGGAGCACACACATGTTAGAGGCTACATAGCAAACAAACATCTGATGGTAACCAGTTCTGTAAATTGACTATCAAAATAATTAGTGATTTATGTTAAAAAATTATCACATAGTCTAAATGGGGTTTCTCATTCCATACTTATTTTCCGACCTCATTTACGCTCTTGCTGTTACACTTGGGTTCATATAAAATAACCTTCTCCTTTGGTCCAAGATATGAAATTAGGTCCTAGATTAAAATGAGGTTAGGTTGAAGTGGCACCTTCCAGATGGCACCTTCTCAGAAATAATAATATTGTTTTAGGCTACTTTGAGATCATTAGTTTCCTGGTTTATTAAGAGTACTGTTAAGTGTACAGCTTGTTTGCGCGTGCTCCCTCCTCGGCCAGGAGGGGCCTCCACCACAGCCCGGCGCTTGGCGATCTGCTACTAGTCGCCCTAAAAATATTGTCTATACTACTTCTAGTTCTACTCCCAGCGGATGAGTAACACCAACACACGGCGCCTGTTGGTCTTATAATTTCCCTCGCTTCACTGTGAATGGTTTTCCCTTTTATAAGGGCGGTTGCCATGATATTAATCTAAGTTAGCCTAACACTTTTTTAACCAACGGCTTAACGGTCACTCAATAATTATTACTCAACCGCACAACTTAACTCCACAACACAGTCCAATAAACTGACAGTCGATAGAATACAATACTCTTCCGGTCACAAAATATTGTCATAAAATACTTAACGACATTAAGAGACCAACTTTCCTTTTATTAACTTAAGGATATAAAATAAATAACTGCCTGCCATTAACCTTTTTACAAAGTGTTTGGAAAACCCGTCTGATATTTTAATGTGTTATTTATTGTACATGATATGAAAATAAGCAAAAAGTTTCCATAATTATATGTACTAAGCCTTATGTTTTTTTGTTTATAGGTATATCTGTATGTCTTTTTACATAAAATACTATAGGCTATCCTAAGATATCACCTATAAACTCAGTTAATTGGTTACACCTAATTAGTCAAACTTTACAAATAAATTGGAATATACTATGATTTTACCGTTTGGTGTACATTATAAGTAAAAACATAGTTATATCAAAATTAATTACTCTACTACAGTACCAAAACAATTATATGTCTGAAAAAAATGTGATTTGATCCTACCAACTACAAAGTATACAAGTAAGCCTAAGATTACAAGTTAACTTATATAGGTTTGATTACCTAACAGATGAATTGATGTAGCCAATTTTGACTACATGTAAATCAAGGTAATTTTGGTTAAATCTGCCGACCATTGGATTAATATTTTAATACTATTGGAACATTATAGACACTTAAATGTGTTCTAAAGTATGGTAAATGCATGGAAATTGCATAAGGTACTTACAGAAATGGTTTCCTGGGCCAGCATAATGATGACCTTTGTATGCTGCAAAGAGTCCCGGATTGATTCCAATCTGAAAGAACCAAATACTTTTAAAACCTAAAAGGCATATTCTAGAAATATTTCAAAATAAGAAAAGTGTTACAAGTGTAAAATAATTACAAGTGCTAAACTGCTTATTTACCAAGATTTACACTAGTTAAGTAGCATGAAACAGTGATGCCCTGTTGTAGAGGGCTCTAATTATCAAACACTGGCCCCCATCTTATGACTTAATTCACATGCACACAATTCCAAAACTACAACATAATACCCTGGGCTAAACACTATTCTCAATTTGTCTGATTGGATTTTTACTAAAATATTTCCGTACCAAGACATATTTGATCCCCATTTAAATGACATTAGATTTAATGAGTACTTAGGTTTGCTGCTACGGGGAAGGTAAAAAGTGTATTTTGACCAAATGTATAGTATAGGATAAAATAAATAAATTTGAAAAATTTAATCAACATAAATAAACAAGCAAACTAATACAGTTTTCTTAAGAATTACATGGGAATTTTAAATTTAGAGTTTTTTTTCAATTTTCTCCGTAACCTTTAATTTTATAACAACCCTTCAATATAACTTACAGTACAACCCCGCTAATCCGTCCCCTACATGACCGGGACCATGGTCACAAAAATGAAAAGGTCGTATTATCCAAGGGGCATATCAAATGTTCTTTGATTAACTGACATTTATTGATCATGGGCGATAATATTTTTTTATATAATGTTCTCATGACCCTAAGAGACGTTTAATATTTTCCAGGATCACGGCAGATGATGATGATCCTTCTGTGTTCTCAGAAAACATTCAACAGTTTGCGATGATCGTGTGAGACGACGATGATATTGCTTTTAACGCAGGAGATGTTCAAGAGTATGCCGCGATCGCAGATAACAACAATAGTTTTCGTGATTGCGGGAAACAATAATGATGTTTCCTTTACAGCAGGAGATGATTAGAATTTTGCCAGGATCGCAGATAGTCCCCAAACAATTAAGTTTCTATGATTGCTCTAGGTGATGATGATTATGTCCCCACGAGTTCAGATGTTTAATGTTTTTCCACGATCACAGGAGACAATGATAATGTCAACACGATCGCGGGGGATGTTCAGGTTTTTGCCACTATCACTGAGGAGTGAGGATGGAAATGATTTTTCCGTGGCCGTGGGATTTGTCTAGGGGTCCCCTATCTTGGGAGACGATGATAATAGTCCTGTGACCGTGAGAGACGTTTGATAAATGTTTCCGTGAGAGGGTGATTATCTCCATGGCAAATAGTCACAAAAATACTGCGATAACATTGTCACTCATAGGTGATTTTTTTATTATTTTAAAACCCCAAAACATCCCGTTCCCATGACCCGATATCCCTGTGTTGCAAACTAATTCAAGTTCATCTTATCCTACACCGTCAAGCCTAATTCCATCCGAATCGGACCAAAACTACCTGAGTTATCGCGTTCATAGACAAATACGTATTTAAATCTATATATGCATATAAAACAATTTGAGTTTGAACAATTTGAATTTGAGAGTGTTTTAGCCTCTGGGGACATCAAAATGAAAAAGTAGATTGGTCCCGGGCCTAGGTCTTACTGTGCCACCTTCCGTAAAAGCTACTTCCCGATAGGGAAATTGGCTATTATTGATAATTTAAACCAGAGTCCCGCTAATCCCAACTCATTGGGACCCAGCCCTGTTCATATTACCAAACAGCAGATAAGCCTAAAAAGCAGAAATGTTTCAACAAAAATAAAACAATGTATTTTTATGGCTGTAAAATAACCATTTATTGATCCAGTGATCCTGAAAACACCGCGATTGTCTCAATTAAATTACTTTTTATTTCCGTCAATGCCCCTATATTTTAAAGGGAAATTGCAGATAAGTAATTTTGAAGCTTTTTATTGCATGACGGTTTCAGCTGCTACCGTTCCAAACACGGGGTAAAATTTGTTAAGTGCCCTATACTTCTGATCTTTTTAAGAAATTTTAATACTTTTCAGAAACCTATGTTGCTCTACGTCTTTATAAGATGTAGTACTTAAAGACATTACAAAATTGACTAAATAATGCTAAAAAAAAAGAAAGTGAAAATGAAGTTAACACTTACAAATCTGTTTTATAATAAAACTAGCCGCTATACCCGTGCCTTGCAAAGGGGTCAGTATGCAAAAGAGAATTTGGTTCAGGTGAAAATATAATCAGGCAAATGGAAATTCGCTTAGTCTGCAGGTTTGCTGTGGCTGGGGTATTTTATAACTGTTTCCACAAAAATATATCTAAAAAATAATTCTTATAAAACTCAAGATAAAAGCCAAGGTTGATACGGCGACGGTTATAGAATTTAAATTAATTCACCAATGAATAATTTCTTTTATCAATGACTTATTCCATATGAAATATAATTTTAGTATTAAATTTGTTTTATTCACATGGGTGTAATTGTGAGATCAAGTGCATTTGACAGTTCTCCTTGTTTAAATTTAAAGGTTATTAGTTTGTTCTTTGTTGCCATAGATGCCAATCAATATTTATTTTTAAAACTCTCACCTCTGAACTTTGAAAGCCCACGGAGCAGGAGAGTCCTTGGATCTATATAGTTCTATATGTATTATCGGAGCTGTAGCTTTATTTTGTCCAATTTGAGCCCAGTCGGTTCAGTAGTTTTTGTGTTTCACTTTAGCTCATACAAACACACAGACAGACCCCCTTCTTTATAATAGTTTAAGGTTCTTCAGTCATTGAGATGAAAACACACTAAGTTTTTGCATTGTTACAACGCAGAACCCAACACCGTATAACAAATAGGCTACTAATTAGCTATCATTGATATAACCCAGATAGAATTGTATTCATCAATTTGTTCATCTATTGTTGTTGTCGACGGTCACGTGTTCTGCAGTGGCCGTTGCGAGCCCCAAAACCTAAATTCCCCGCAATTCCCTGACCATCTAACCACGCTGCGACTTAGTCCCGATTATACTAGCTCTACGACTATTACAACTTAGGCGCGAGCTCCCAAGCCTGGTTTTTAATCCGCGTACTAAAGATATGGGGCATCTATAAAGTTAGGCACGTCTAACACTGGGCGCATTTCTACAGTATTAGGCGGTATTTATGGATTCGTAATATATGTTTATTCTTATGTCATGTTGGATTATCTGTGGTCCCCCCCCCCCCTCATTAACCCTGGCTCTGCTGTAAATGTGTGTTCTTGATGAATGATTTTACCACTGCCAAAATACAAAACCCAAAGGGTTTAGCCAAATAAGTAAGTTAATTTAATTCAAAAACAGCAAAACAATTTGAAAATGTAATGTTTTAGGGAGAGGAAGGAAAATGCTTGTATGCACATAGGTGGCCAGCCTGTAGTGTGAGACTCGTGAATTGATCAGACTACGCTCTAAAAAACCTTTCTGTTGGACACAGATCTGGGATTGTTTGTCACTTTTCTTCAAGTCAGGCCAACACGTGGCCCTCAAGGCTTGCAGCATTTCCGGCATTCAGTTCAGTGTTTTTTTTTTTTTTTTTTTTGTAATAGAAACACCCGCAATAAAACATTCAGCTATGTAACAATTATGTTGAGACAATTTATCATAATATGTTTCCCTAGAAAGAAAACGGATAGCCTAACGTCTAGAGTGAGTCATATAGTACGGACGTTTCAATTGTTTTATCTAGATGCACTTAATACACTCTTGAGTTCCTCATGAATTCATCAAGCTGCATATGATCCAAACCCAAAAGATAGAAGCTTATAGAGACGTAGAAGGCCAGTAAAAAACCAACTTGATCAGCATTGCACATGTTATTAAATGTACAGCAAGTAAATAAAATATGTCTAATAACACTCTTGAAACATATATTTAGACATACTGTACATGTACTGTGGAAAGACTCTTTTAAGCAAATTTGCTTATTGGGTCTGATGATGATTGGAGTATCCAATCGAAACCGATCACCACTAACCATCTTTTTTATGTATTTACCGTCTTGTGAGATAACACTAACAGTATGGGTAAATATATGTTTCAAGAGTGTTATTAGACATATTTTTATTTACTTGCTGTGGATTTTTCACTGTCAACTAAAGATCATAGTGTTGAGTTTCAGTTAAATAATCAACCCTTTGAGGTTGATTTTTTTTGTTTTGTTTTTTTTTCAGTATAGGTTGCCATTTTTAAGCAGTCAGGAAAATAGGGGGCGGCGACCTATACTCACCATTCAACCGCAAAGGGTTAAGTAGATACGATGATCTAAACATGTTTTGTCTAAAATACTCAGATTGTACACATGGTCTACAAAACTATGCACAACCATGGTGTAATGTATTAAGAAATTTAAACTTAATGCAGTGATATATCTTAAACATTTTAACCAAATCAAATGGAGGTGTTTGTTATGTACTTACAATAACAATGTCCAGATTTGTAGTCAGATGATCTGGCAATGTTCTTTTAGATACTTCCTCTTCAGGCATACCGTTGAATCTATCATGCTTCTTACGTTCCTTGAATACTTTCACATTTGGATCTTTAAGCGGCTTCATCGATAAAGGATTCATCATACCGTCAGGGTATACCATTCTGAAAAAGTAGCAGGACATGTCAAATAAATAAAAAATATTACTTTTTAACATAATATTCTATGTTTAACCTTTGTCATTCTTTATGTCATCAATGGATAACGATGATAGAGTTACGTACAGTAGACCCTCTCTTAACCGAACCTAATGGGATCTGACTTATTGTCGGGTCAAAAAGTATAGATACTCGAGTTTGAGCTTTTATTGCAACGTAACCAGTAGACGTAGAAAAATACAAGTTACATCATAATTTTACGAATTTATTTCTTCGTTTATGTGTGTTGGTTTCAAATTTTGTATGCAGTTTCAACTCAGCCTTTCAGTGGGTTGAATGAAATAAGTACAGGTTTTTCGGCACTTTACCAACAACGGGCGACTTAAACATTTTATAAAAAAAAAAACTACTGATCTAATCGTCATGAAATTTTTATAGCTTTTGTAAAGGCATTTGATTTCAGGGACGGAACAAGTTAAAAACTCCAATGAAAGCTTAAAATAAATCTCTTAAAAAAAAACAAATGAAAGGTTATGTTGCACGTTAGCTAAGTGGTCTTAAAAAAACATAACATGATGAAGTGCTATTCATTTGGAATTATATAATCATTGTTTTGAAGTTGTAATTGCATTATTTATAAAATAAACTACACCTATCTTCTTTTTTTCATTGATTAAAATGTCACAAATAAACACAGAACACGTGTAAGTAAAATAATTTCACTGGAATAAATTATAGTTGTAGACAAGAACCATTTTGTTGCGAGACTGGATTTTTATTTATAGCCTCTCACTGGGGGCTCGAGTCACAAAAACTATCTTGACCTTGGAGTCGTTAACCCCAATCCCCTGCCCTCCCTACAAGTTGCATTGTTTACTCTAGCGATCCGCACAGATAACAAATCAGATGTGCTCACGCTAGCACAATGATGACAAACTGGCAATATGCAATATTTTTAGAGATGAATACAAAATAATTTATTCTTAGTCCCATCCTGTGGAGATAAGCGTATGGTTCCCATCGCTGAGAGTGGGAGCGGAAATGCTGAGATTCCTAGAAGGCGGCGGTTAAACCAAATTGCTCTCAAAGCAAGGTCGGTTAAAACAAACTATATTATATTATATTTTACCATCGAGGGTGGATAATCCAATTATCGGTTAATGCGAGGTAGGTTAAGAGGGGGTCTACTGTAGATAGGAATCATTATTTCTTTATTTACACTACAATTGAGAATGGTATTGGCGTCAGTCACCTTGATTACCATCGATTAGACAAATTGTTAACTAAAATTTGTATTTGAATGTTTTCACCACTTAACCGCTTTTACCTACGACCGTTTTTTAAAGTAGCCGTTTTAGTACAGTTCTTAGAATTGAAAAATATCTCATAACAGCATTGTTTACTTTCATAACAGCATAGTTTTACTCATAACAACATGGGTAACGGACCAATGAGGTTCAAGGATTGAGAGAGGAGAAGCAAAATTGTAATGATTCATAATTCAACTAATCAGCTGTTCAGGCCAATTTAATTGTTGATTGGTGCAATCAGTATTTGATACAATGTTTCATTGCATCACTGTCAGTGGTAATTAGAGGTTATAAACAAAAACATAACCTCTCTTAGAAGTTATGAGTAGTGATTTTTAGTAATTAAAACACCGTCGTAGGTAAAGTAGTGTACGCAACTCGCTTAAATAGTGTTAACAACACTCATAGAAGTTCTTAAATTTCCTACTCGTGTCGTTAACACTATCTTTACGCAATCGTTGCGTAAACTAATAAACTATTTTTTTTGGAAAATCTGGCCTTAAAATTGTGGTTACTAAATATAATAACTTTTGTTGTTTCACCAGTTTTTTCAACCATTATATTCAGTAACAAAATCCCTACCATAATACAATAATTAGTCGTACTCTTCACAAATTATATTATTTTTATTTTAGAAAACAAGTAGCATATCTAGGCTGTTTTTGTTTTTTAAACCTAAATAACTATTACAACATGTTAATTAATTACAATAGGTAATAAAAATATAATTACCCTCCATGCATTTGTTGAAGCTGTTGATCTTCAGGTTTAATCTTTTTCTTCCTCCCACGCTTCTTTGGTACTTGCTGCATTACCAGAGGAGGGCACTGCATGGACTGCATCGCCATTCTATCTTCCTCAACGAAGCTGTAAGGATCCTCCTGCATCTCATACTTGATGATGCTGCCTCCTTGCATGACGTGGGGATGGTGATGCATGTGAGGGTGAGCGTGAGGATGAGAATGCGGGTGAGCATGTGGCACGTGTGGATGTCCATGAGGATGTGCGTGTGGATGGTGATGGGAGTGTGGATGTTGATGGGCCAGAGGATGTTGAGGATGTTGAGCCATAGGATGTTGAGGGATCGGTTGTTGAGGATGGTGAGGATGAGGGGGCAAGTTCTGCTGATGGTGGGGAAGTGGTTGATGAGGTTGTTGATGAGCCATCTGCGGATGTTGATGCTGCGCCATCTGTTGATGTAAAGAGTTACCCATCATCTTGCTCACTTCGTTATGACCTCTCATATCCAGATCTCCACTGGTTTCATAACCGTCATCAAGCGGTTCTTGTTTCATTGACACCGAAGAATCTGAATAATGTGGGGGCTCCTGTTTCATCATCGGAGGACCATCGCTGTAATGCTGAGGCTCTTGTTTCATAATGGGTGATACTATCGGCGTTCCATCCGAGTAGTGCTGTGGTTCCTGCTGTTTCATTATAGGTGTTCCGATTCGAGGTCCTTCCGAGTAATGAGCTTCTTGATAATGTTGCTGTTCTTGTTGCTTCATCATTGGTGTTCCATCTGGAAAATGACTTTCTTGGGGTTTCATCATCTGTGTTCCATCCGGGAAGTGTTGGGGTTCCGGTTGCTTCATGACTGGTGTTCCAATTGGTGTCCCGTCAGAATAATGCTGCTCTTGATGCTTCATCAGTGGTGACCCGGCAGAGTAATGGGGCTCTTGCTGTTTTATGATGCTCCCATCGGAGTAATGTTGTGGATCTTGTTGTTTCATGACTGGTGTTCCGATGGACGCACCGTCTGAATAATGAGGCTCTTGCTTCATTATGGGAGTCCCATCAGAATAGTGTTGTGGTTCTTGTTTCATTAATGGTGCGTTTTCTGAGTACCCAGGCCTAAAATCAAGAAAGTGGGTTCAAATTAGTAAAATGAAAGTTTCTGCCGGATTTTCTCTGCTTTTTTAACTATGTGCCACTGCCAGTGACATGAAAGTCTCTGGGAGTTAGGTACTTCTTTATCATAAACAAACGTTTTTGTCAGCTTACATTACAAATTGTAACATTTTTGTATGTAACCAGTTAACCTTCAATAATTATAACCTCAATAGCAGGAGTTAATAATAAAAAAATAAAAAATGTGTACATGTTAATGAATAAAAATAACAATCAGAGTAGCTTGTTAAATAGTGAATACGGCCATAGAAGATTAAAAAATAACTGCCAAGGCTTCCATAAATGATAAGGTAGTTTTGATATACATTAAAACTTGTGGCCAATTAACAGCAAATTTATATGGCTAAAATTAGGCTATGTTAGTAATGACACTTAACAATTAAGTCAGGTTACTGCACACCGACAAAGTAAGTAGACCTAATTGCTTTATTAGTAGGAATTGTTATGGTACGAGAGGGTTAAAACATTATGACCTTATCACTAATATAATAGAACACTGGTCAGACCTTAATAATTTTTTTTTATATTAAGTTGAAACGGGTGCATGCAACTACTACATTGGCATTACAACATTACTGTCATATATTTACTTTTAACTGGTTCCATTCCTATAGGTAATTGCGTAGTGATGGTCTAAAACCAGTTGACTTACAAATTATAAGGCCTACTTAAAACACAAGCTAGGCAGCACAAAAATAATCTAATAGCCAGAATAGCCTACATATTTACTTGACCTAAAATTTAGTAGGCTACAGTAAACCCATGAAATTGTTGCAGTTCGGTTTTGAAGTATCTAGGTAACACCAAATAATTATTGGTGCTTATTATCATAGATAAAACATACTCCCTTGGTAGATTTGTCTACTAAGGGACAAACAGCTGAAGCCAATTTGTATTGCAAATTCTGTACGACCAACTGTAGGGATCGTGTTTTGTTTACAGTTTATTTCTTGTTATTTTAGTCATTTAAAACCGCATTTAACCAAATAATTATATAATCATAAACAATAACTGGTCTCCTAGTTATATAACCAAATAAGCACAAATCATGAAAATAACTCTAAAATAATAGAAGGAAAATTTTGTCTACCCAGCGATCAGTGTGGACGTAGGCCTACAAGTGTTGCTTAGTCTATGTTATTATCAAAAGGATAAGGATGCTGTGTTAAAATTTATATTTAACTAACATTTAGTCACCTGGATAGATATTATACCAGTGTATATTTAAGTATTGTACCAATCATTAGTTCCTTACCATGTTTTAAGTACACATCACTACCTAGCTAATGAGGTGATGTAGATGTAGATGTACCGGTACCTATGCTTGGTAAAACTAAAGATAAATTGTTCATTGCCAATATCTAAATTGTCTAAGGCAATCCTTAATATTACATGAAAAAGAGAACTGGACTTTGTTGTATTACAGTTCTCTAAATTTCCTCTAGAATGCAGGACAATTCATTTTTTGGACTTAAGTCTGTTTACAAAGTGAATATTACAAATGGGACCTCTTGTAGTTATGGCGAAATAACATTGAGCGACAAGAGGTACCTTTTCTCAGACCGTTTAGAAGCTAACAAAATGATTTATTTTGACCTTATACGTCTTCAATTCGATATTTTAACCGATACTGTCATGTTCTTTGATAAATGAGGTATAACAATCGATAAAAAACCGAAGTTTGATATTTTCAACCTTAATTACGGTACTTATATTGGCCGTACTGAAAATTGTACATCGCCGACAAGAGGTCCCTTTTCCACATCACATTTATTACTGTATCTACTATATCAGTGGTTCCCAAACTATGGTTCGCGGGAAGAGACCAAACATGTATGTTTTTTATTGGGACTCGTAATGTTTCAATACCGTAAAGGATTTGCTGAGCACCAGAATAGTACTGAGTGGATAAGAAGGGAGAGGTCTGTAGGCCTACATTAAAAGATTTTCAAAATATTAAGGTACTTAGTTATATATTTATAGATATATTTAGATATATTTCTTAGATATATTTATTTAGTTGTTTTAAGACTAGGAATTTCAAATATTGATTTTTTTGTTTAAGTGTTTGGGTAGGCCTACCTACTTCGGAAATGTTTAATCCCAATTTTTACGTGAGAATTTGAATAGTTTGGGGACTTTTGTGCCTGATATTATTCTAATACTGCGATTAAGCAAAATGTCTTCAAAATTTTTACAGCCAAAAATTTACAATATTGTCACAATATGCAAAGGGCTAAACCTAGCCCCGAATCTAAGACGTGTATGAAGATTATCATTATATTACTACAAACGCGCAAGACAATTACGACGGCACTGTAATTGTTGGGATGATAATGTGTTAGCTATGATGACAGATTCTTCAATTATCATTAACGTATCTTTTGTAAATACTAGATAGATACCTATAGATTTTGTTTATTTTGAACCTGGCCCAAAGTAGTCTACATTTATAATAGTACCATATTTTAAAACTCACCGATCCCTACTTTGCTGGAACCCAAGGAAAATGTAACATGATTACAGATAGTCTCTTTTAAATGATATCTTTCATTTCTAAATAGGCCTAATTTAAAATGTCTCAAACAATAGTGTTTTGGACTAGATATTGAATTTTCGATAACATCAGTCCTCACAACTTTCATTCAGTTGTGTGTTTCTCAATATACAGGACAGTACAAATAAATTAATGAGAAGAAATAACTATAGCCTGTTACAAATGTTTAGGGTTGGTCGCGAGAATAAATCCCAAGGTTGTGGTAGGTCTCCAAAACCAAACAGTTTGGGAACCATTGTACTATAGGCCTACAATAATTTTGTAAATTAGATAAATAAATTAAACTCAACACTGACTGGCTATTACTACAGTATGCCAAAGGCAATGAATGGATCAGGGGATGAAAGGAATGAAATACAGACATCACATACAAACTAACCACCGCTCACAACAAAATCATTCCAAGGTCATTGCCATTTACACACTACCTAGTTCACTATTTTAAATTGTCCCTCGATTTTGAGTAGCCTAGCCTATTTGAGATATTAAATGGGAAAAGGGCAACTCTTTTGCTATTCAGCCCAGACTAATTTTGCAGCACATTGTCACTGATACCTAAATTATCACTATGCCTAGATGCATTTTTTGAGTATCACTACTTTAGTGATACAATAAAAACTTATCCATGGGTAAATTGGAATAAGTAAATTGAGTGCCAATTTAGGTTAATTATTCTGATATAGGCATATAGGGTATGATATATTGATGATTATATTGATAAGAAACCATGAATGGTAGCCTAGGCCAAACTTACCTTTTGAAATTCAAACTAGGGGTTTCCTTAACTAGTAATATCCTGTTTTGGTCTAAAACCGACAATTTTAGGGTAAAAATATTTCCAAAAGAGGACTAAAGTAATTTTCCTCTTTATGGAAGTAAATGTTAGGCTATGCATACAACGTGATGGGTCTGTAAAAACATGTTTTAATGTTATGTGAACCACTAGTTGAGAAGACCTATTAAGTAACTACCGGTGCCTGAAATTAAACAATCTATTACGCATATGGACCACAAAATAACTTTAGAAGCTGATTCGGCTTATTTTAAAAGAATCTATTCTTAAGATTTAGGGGGTCACTGAGAGAATTGTAGAGAATTTTTACATCAGTTTAACTGACATAGGTACCCTAACATAACAAAATTATGTCCTACAACTGTAGGCCTAACATTATCAAAATTTCATGGATGGCTAAATGTAATCCTCTAGGGAATTCACTTGATCATTATTGTTCAGAGCTTGATCACGAGGGGTCAAGTAGTCTAAGGTGGTGTCTCCCTAATCAGGTTATATGGCCAAAAAACTAGAGGGAATTTTGTTGAATTTTGTCTTGATTATTAGTTCTGATAAGCAACTCGTAGACAGTTCATTTATCAAGGGAGGCAGGGTTGGGGGTTTGAGAACACATCTCAAAACTAGACAGTGGGTGGCTCCTACGCAAGTTGACAGGAAATTGTTTTTTGATTGTTGCATTTTGGATCTGATATTTTGCAATTTTACTTAGCCTATTGGCCTATTTAAATTATTTCGGCTATGCGCAAAAATTGATAGATGTTTCTGGAAATTGTCAGTAATATTATGTTTAAAAAGTTAGGTATATATGCTAAAGTGCTTTACAATAGGCTAATAATAAATTAGGCCTACTGTTGGATGACCATTATCTCTAATCTAAAAATTATTATCCAAAGGTACCGGAAATTTTGAAGTAGCCAACTGATATCAAGTTACCGGTACTGTAGAATTCTGGAATTCAAAATCAATAGAAATGTGGAATTAACTTACTGAAGATGTCGCTTTGCATTCTGGTCACAAGCTGACACATTCATAGGTACCTTTTAAACATATATACCTATATTACTTTGCATCTAGGCTAGCTATTTCATTGTATATATTTGATCTTTGTTATATCAAAGATTCAAAAACTATAGGCCATTATCCGATAAAGATGGAGATTTTGTAGGATATTAAAAATTGTAGTCATTCCACATCATTAGTATTTGTAAATGTGCCGGTACCTAATAACTTATTCGATTAGGCCTATTTGAAACCCTACATTGTTGTTCTTGGAATCAGATAGGCTACACTGGTAACAGCAATTCTAAAACCACTAGGTAGGTCTAGTAAAAGTTTCTATGCGTCCAAATATACCTGTGTGCTTCTTGAATGTCAACATTTAACATGGTCACTGCTGAAAATGGTTAGCCCTGAGCTATTAAGATGTTAAAAAAAAAGTTACACACAACAAATTGGTCGACCGCTATGAGTGCAACGATGCAGGAGTTGCAGACATTCTCAGTTAACATATATAGATAGGCCTAAATAATATTATTCTAAGTTACAAGTGTACAGTTTAAGTGTTTTCTAAGCTTAGTTTTATATGATATAAGTTATCTATACCTTAACCAACTCACTAATTTAAAACTACCGTACCGGTACTTTACTCAAATATTTATCACACCTCAACATCTATTTAACTTACATAAACTTCTAGAATATGCTTGGTGCATTTCAATAGCTAGGCCTACTTCAATTAATTTACAAAATGTTACTGTTTTTAAGTATTAGGTACCGGTACCTAAATAACTACATACCGTAGCCTAGAAAGAAACTGGTGCAATCAAACTGATAACTACTGCATGCACTTTGGTATGTTCACTCAACTTATTAACATAAAATAAATAAATAACGTCTTTATTTATCCAGCGTACATCAGATACAAAGTTCTGTTTTACATGCAAACTTTTGTCAGGGCTGAGCTACCGTATCAATTTGTTAGACAAAACATAATAAGCCAACTTATGTTGATAACTTGATTTAAAATTGTTCTTTGTTTTTGTAAAATCTAAATTTTTACATTCAACCGTCTTATTTATTACTTTTAGTTTAGCGCAACTAGCCATAGGTCTAAATCTAGAACAATTCACTTTTAGTAACATATTAAGATTGATAAACATAAAAAAAAATTAATAACATTTATAATTTAAACTTCATGACACTTAACCTTATTAAAAGTGCAAGATTTTTGATTTTTTGTTGGATTGAGAGGCATTTGACATAATCTACCCTGTCAAACATACACAGTAGGCCTAGGTAATAATTTATCTGTTATGATTGATTGAGGGGGGGGGGCTTATTGAACTATGGGAACTATGGCTAAAGTTGAATAGGCTAGGTCTAAGATTACTTAGGCTTGTGCTTTTGGCAAGGCCAACAGTAGGCCTACCTAAGTTATAATGGAGGCTACCCTTCATGGATATAGTAAAACTGTAAATTCAGTATCCGATTCAATGACTTGACTTATTTAGGTCTTAATGTGCAAATGATTTGAGTAAGCTTAGCTTAAGGAAATATTTGTTTTGCTGTTTGAAAACAAATTATAAGCCTAGGTGAACTTAAGTAAAATAACCAAATTACCTACCTTCATTGGATAGATTAAAAGAATTTAGTTAATTTACTCAATTTACCTTTTGTGTGTACCTACACTTATCGTAAATTTAATGTCACCGTAAATAAACAAATAAATGCACTTTTGACCATTTAAATATTAATCCCTAGGTCTAGGCCTAAGTAATCTTATCTACTATGACCTATGACTTCACCAGCCTAAGTTAAAGTTTGTGTTTAGGCTAAGTTTAATGTTTTCAAAACAGAAAGGATTAAGTAAATGAGAAGTATTACGAAATAAAACTATAGTGAAATCATAAATAAATAATAGGCGAATAATAGAAATGGCATGAAAAGGGTGTATGGAGAGAACCATTGATCCATTACATGATCAATGTTTGTTTACAAAATGTCACAATGGCTGATTGTATAACTAATGGGAGTTTGTTGATAATAATCAAACTAAATAACGAAAATTATACTAAACAACATGCAAAAAGAATAGTAAACATACACATAAAACTTCATTATGAGATGAGACAGCAGCAGTAGTTCACTATACGAGCTTCAGCTTAGTTTTGTCCAATTTATTCTTTTTGGGGAAGTTTGCCAGACGACAGTGTTTCACTCGTTTAAGAAGTCCCACCAAAAATATAGGAAACGACAAGCGTAACAGAAGTTTTGAACGATGATTAGAGTTAAAGCTAACTTTTATAGCACAATAAATCAATACAGGTCAAAGTTTGGGCCACTCACATTTTGAGGCCAGGCCCTTCAGGTGCTTCCATTGTAGCTCCAAGAAGCGTGGCAGCTTCTCTGAACAGAGTAGCGACCTGCATTTATAACAACAACACTCAACAACTTAGAACTACATTCACCAACTACTTAACTAATGCCTAGAACTTGAGTTCACTTTCAGATAATTTATAATATACATAGTAAACTTATACTAGACATTAAAAAACCTCACTCTACTGGAAAAATCAAGCTACTTGTGATTGGTTGCCAAGAATACGTTTCAGAAAAATCAATAAGGACAACCACAGCTCTCTAGATAAAAAGTAACAGCATAAACAAAACTTTACCGTAAAAACTCCAGCGATTTTTACGATACTCCAAAACTTGATTATAATACATAGGTGTTTAGGTTAATTGTATAGGATATCACAGAACTTCAAAGCTCTCTAACCGAAGTAAGAGCCCATAATTTACAACCCCCTCCGCTGGCGGATTAGTCAAAACTACAAAAGAAAAATTACTCTCAACAAACTTTGAAACTTTGCCTATTAAACGTTTATTACTGCACTTCCCCTTTAAGAGAAAGTTATTGCTTTAGAACGAGAAATTAAATTGAGATAAAGGGAGTCTTATTTTCAACGAATATTTTGTAAATTTATTATGTTACATTTATTTATTTTAGAAGGTAACTGTAAGCACTTTTTTTATTTGTAAAATGTATGTGCCCACTTGTAGCGTTTTTATTTTATACAAAAGTCTGTTTAAAAGCACTCAAAAAACTATTTCTGAATTTTGTTTATTCATGATAATATTTTTGTTATTTGATATATATGTTTTAGTTCTTTTTTCATCTAAATTATAAAAGTTTGTTATTGTTTTAAATTAGTTGCGAAATGTGGGGAGAAAGATTCAGTTATTATTTATTAATAACTAATCAAGTACTGGTTGTTAGTGTTCATTATTTTATGACCTATATAAAATATTATGAACTGAAAATAATATATGTAAAAAATAAACTAAATTCGAAACTATATTTTTTAACATTGCATATTTTACTAAACACCGATTGTTATGTGTTTAATGCCCTTGGATTTTAACCCTTTAAAAATATATAGTTATACATAACTAACAATTAATTTTTTCGAGTACAAATTAATTTCTTACAATCACAATCGGTTCGATATAAAAATTGTACATACATGTACGAATACATTTGTAATAATCAGTTAGGATAAATGTTTATTTCACAAGAAACTAATCAGTCAAAAAGACAAACAATGTTCAACTACTTTAAATTGGGGGGGAGGGTTTGAATATTAATGTTTATAAATTTAACTAATGTCAATAGTTAAGTGCGTAATTTACGCACTACTAAACATTTCTGAAAGTTTAAATTGTTTTTTATATATGTGGTATACTGTTTTCTATGGTTATATTTGTTACTCTTAGCATAAATAAAATCACAAACGATATTGTAATGGCTTTGGCTTTTCAGCTGACTAGCAAAAAGGCTGTTCAATACTTTCAACTACACTACTCAAGTAAAGTGTAAACATAGAAGCTTCTCGACCATGCAACAATATTGACTTGAGCGGGTGTGTATGTTTCTTTTCCTTTGTAATAGTAATAAAATTATTATTATTTAGTTATTTTGGTGGAATTTGCATATTTCCCTAAAAGTATTTCGGCGAGCTGCATTTTGACCTCGTCAGCCATTTATGACATAAACAGATCCCCTACTACGAACTGCACTCAATCCCAATACGTTGTTTACCTATGCCTGCATAATACAATACTACTGCAATTATAGTTTCTATACTATATGATATGCATAACAGATAAGACTAAATGGCCTTGGTGACATATGATGCAAATGTTTACTGTAATTTACTGTTTTCAATGCTTTCATCCTTCAATTTATCGTGTCGTCAATGATACTTAATTGAAATAATAACAAGGATAATAGTAACAGTGAAAAGTTATGATTACTAAACGGATGTATTGGCTGCTTTCAGTGCATTGATTGTTCAATATGGATATTCTGAGAAAATTTTTCACCCCTACTATTTCCAATTTGAGGAGGGGAGGGAGAGAAACCAGCAAAATTGTTACACTCAACGTTTTTACTTTAGTTTCAAAAGAGTTTTATTTTTAAGATAATAATATATTTATAACTACTTCTCCCAGGGGCATATATTTATCACCCTATATGTATTTTTCTAGGGAATATGGCACTCTCAATATCTGAGCTATACCATTGACTCTAGTGTTATATAGTCAATGGCTATACCATACATTATTTTTCTCCACTACTACTCTTCCTAACAACTCTAATCCAAAAGTGGTTTTTGTATTTTTGTGTTAGTTATAAATATGATAAAATTGAAAATCTGAAATCTTGGTTGAACATTTTCAATCTCAGACATTTCAAAATCCCTCGCAAATATTAAAATTAATGTTGATGATATTGGTTGTGTGGATTCTAAAAGTGAAAATAAATTTTAAAAAGTTCCATTACTTGTTGCCAAGCCAAGGTTATAGCTATATCTAAAAGCTCTATTGATTTAAGTGTTTTTTGTTTTCTTTTGTGGGTGTTTTTTTTTTTTGTCGCAAGTAGTGTTGTTTAGCACCTGACGTCCCATAGGATAACATGGCAGACAGGTGACATCAGCGTACATTTAAATTTAAATGTAAGAACATAAATTTATTAAAAGATTGAAAATAAAACATATAGAATTTAAAACCAAAAAAATAAATTGAAAATATATTTCTGTACATTTAACGTGGAGTCAATATTTTCATAGCCCAGTAATCAAGCTTTTGTATTCTTAAGATGAACACAAAAATACCATCAGCTGCATCCAAACAAAACAGCTGTTATAACACTACTTGCGACGTTGCCACTTCAAAAGCCGCGGTCTGGAGTTGAAGGTGGCCGTAGCTTGGCTCTCAGAGTAATGTGCCAACGGTGGTAATGGTGGTCAAAGGTTGTTCGCACTAGCGTTACACATTATATTTTACTACAGTTACTATGAAGCATATACTATAAATAATTAGTCTTTTAAACACTGTTTTTAGTTTAGGTTACATCCAAACATTGAACGAAATGGGAAACAAACGCTGCACCAGCTGATTGTAGTCGTAGTATCTTTAAGTGTTGCCAACCTATTTCCAAGCGTACACGGATTACACGCATAATAAAAGCACGCTGTTTTGTGTTGTTCGGTTGGAATAGTGGTGTGCGGCAAAAAAAGTGAGGGGCAAAAGTAAGTAAACACAGCAATTATAGCAGCTTTCTGTACTATAATCAGTGCAAGGAAGCCCAATTTGTCGGGTGACTATAGGAAAAATTAATTTTGCCCCAATTTTACAATTGGGTCATATGAATGAAAATGTTCCATACAGGGGGGTGCAATAGATAACACATATTTGCAAGGTCGGGGGGGGGGGGCGTAAATTTCTGAAAATATGGTGTTTTAAATCTTATATTTAAAATAATTTTTTTGCTATTTGATAACTCATAGAAGCTACCATATAAAAAGAGTATATTGTGCATCAAGAAGGGTTAGCCATCGGTTTTTATGTCAACGTTAAAAATTAATAAGGTTATAAAAAGTTAAGTATAGTTTAGTCTAGTATGTAGCCTACCATATAGTTTATATGGTTAAACCCATGAGCTAAACAAAATATAAAAGGAACATCAATTTACAGTTTATTAAAGTATTAAACAGCAAAATAGCCAAGAAAATGTATGTTTTGTTTTCTGAATCGTGTTGTTAAAGAATAAGAATGGTAAATGGTAAATATGTAGGTTAACTACCTATTTGATTTAAATATTTTGTAATGATTACAATATTATGAAACATACTTTTAAACATTGTCAATTAATAAAAGTAATCACAGAACATTTCAGGTATTTAATTGATTTCCTTTTTTAGCCAGGGGGTGCACTTGCACCCCCCTGTGGGCACCCATGGATCAAATCCACATTGACGAGATCACCATTTCACACTTTGACCATTCTCTTGAATGGCAGTTGAAAGATACACTGCAGTCTATCCTATAGGTGTTTGGTCAAGACAGTATAAATCAGTCATACACACACCCTAGCCATTCTATGCCAAATTTAATCAACATATATCATATCCATAAGCAAGCAAACTACAGCAGTTTTCTTATTCTCGACAAGAATAACATGGGGGTTTTAAATGTTCAGTTCTTATAAAATTTCCATGTCCACAAAGGCCAAAAACACTATTTGTCAAATTTTTATAAATGTATATATATTATATGTGTATCGGTGAACGCGAGAACTCGAGTAATTTTGGTACAATTTTGATGAATTGGGCTTGAAGGTGAAGGGCAAGATACAATTGAATAAGTTTGCGAACCAGCAAGATTGGGTTATGGGAAAGGGGTACTTTGGGGTTTAGAAATGATCAAAAATTGTTTTTTAAATTTTTACCCTTAAAACATGAAAATGTCAAATTTTCATCAAGACCATGTAGAGCTCAAAAACAAATAATTTTGTTTATTGAAGTGTTGTACAATTAAAGGTTGCAGAGAAAATTAAAATACAACTGTACATTTAAAATTCCTATGTTATTCTTATGGAGAAAAAGAAAACTGTTGCAGTTTGCTTGTTTATGGATATGTTGATCCGATTTGAAAATGTATTTATTTCATCCTTTACTATTACTGTTTGGTCAAAATGACTATTTTAAACCTCCCTGTAGCAGCAACCTAAGTAATTGTTAAATCTAATTTTATATAAATGGGGAATAAATATATGTCTTGTTTATGGACATTTTTCATAAAACCAATCAGAACGATTGGAATTTGCTTAGTCTGCAGGTTTGCTATGGCAGGGGTATTTAAAACCGGGTTTGTGGTACTGTATTGTGTTTGTAACGTGAACACCTTCAAAATTAGCTATAACTTTACATTTAAAATTGTTGAAACGTTCCCCACTGGCTGTTCCCCTTGGTAAAATGCTGCTCAATTAATATGTGTAGTACATAACTATAAAGGAATAACAGCTATTAAGATATAATCCTTACATTAATGTTCCACAGTTGTACATTATTGTATGAAAATTGTATTAAGTGGCATCCTTAGTTTTTGGACACTTATAATTTGTCATGCAACCTTTCTAAAATAATTTATTGATCATGGAAATAAGAGCTAAAACCCTGTCCTACATTGGACCCTGGAAATATGAACT